CAAAGTGAACCAAAGCCATTCTCAGTGCCAACAAGGTCCCAGCTCCTCAGAGGATGAAAACAGCCAAGTTCATCAGGAAAGCCAGCATGATGAGCTCCTTCAACATAATCAACAGCTCCTTACAGCTTTTCTCCACTTCCAACACACTCCCAACAGCTTCTACCAGCTCCCAACAGCCTTTCTCAGTTCCCAAAAGCCTTCTTCTGCTTCTCCAGGTCTGCCTCTTATGCTGCTGTCAACAGTCCCCAGGTGGGCCTCCCACACCCAGCACCACGCTTACCCACTTACCCTTGAGAGTTACAAGTTGACCACCAGCTGTCAATGCACCACACTGGACATTTTTGTTGTCCATATTTTGAATAGAATTTTATATCTCCTGGATTTGTTTGGTACCTTTTCACAGACTCTAATTCTGATAAACTGGTCATTCATGCCTTGAATAGGTTTTTTTTGTTTTGTTTTGGTTTTGGTTTTGGTGCTGGGAATCAAACCCAGGACCTTGCACTTGCCAGGCAGGCGCTTGTGCAGCTGAGCTACATCCCCGGCTCCTTGAATAGTTTTGATTGGCTCAGGAAGGGCTTTATTTGTACCTGCTTTAAGATCGCTGATCATTGTTTGTGAAGTCCATTTTCGATTTAGCTATATCATCACTGAGGTCATCTAACACCTTACTGACCTGTTTTTTGTTCGTTTCTTCTTTTAATTCAGCCTTTTGTCTTTTGCTCTCCTTCTGGTTGATGTCCATTGGAGCAGCTTTGGGGAAGTTTGGAGTTTTTAGCAGCATTTTGTTGCCTTTTATTCTCATTTTTTTCTTTTGTTCCCTTTCTTTCTTCTGCCCCCTCCTTTGGAGCTGAGGGTTGAGAATCAGTTAGAATGAAAGACTTCATTGCTAGTTTGGAGATCGGCTCAGTCAGCATCTTTGCTCTGGCTGTTTTGTGTTACTCCCTTCTGCTCTGCTCAGTGATCCTTAGATCTGGTTGCTGCACAGCCAGGAGAGACTCCCTGCTGGTTATCTCCGCATCGCCAGATCCAGCCACAAGTCAGTCACGCGCGCTGACACTGTCCTAACACTGCCACCCGTTCGTCAGTGCCCTTGCAGACTGGACTGTGCAGGGCCGCCAGCAGGTGGCTGGGATGTGACAGGAGGGAGGAAGGAGGGAGAGGGAAAGAACGGAGTAAGTCAAGGAGAAGGGAAGGAAGAAGTATCCGTGGATGAAAGCAGATGGGGTCAGATTGGAATCATTTGTGGAGCTGCAGTGAGGGGCCGGTGTGGAGGGGCTGATGGAACGTGTGCAGAGCAGGAGAAGGGAGCAGAAGGAGGCAGCGTAACTGGAGGCTGAGGGGGGCTGTGAGAAGGTCAGAACCTGTTAGTGAGCTGTCTGCTAATCTTTGGATCCTCTGTACACAGTTCTCGTGGGGGTCGACCTGCCATGCCCACAGTTATGCTGGTCAATTTCTAGTGTCCTTTGCACATTCATACATATGAAACCTTTGCACAATATATATATGAGAAGAGAAGGGAGATAAATGGATAATAAAGAGAGCAAGAGAGACAAAAGAGAGGGGGAAAAACACAGAAACAAAAATCCAAACATCCATCACAGCACATGCAGCTGCAAACACACAGCATGAAAGCGTGACCACAGCCTGTTTATACTGCAGCCCGCTAGTGAGCCCTCCCCCACTCACACCTGTCACACCTGTGTAAGGTGGACCCCGGGCTTGGCTCTGCTGCTACCCCGCCCTTCTCCCACAGCGCTGCAGTCTCAGCGCCCTCTTCTCCTCACCTTCCCAATTCAGTGTCTGGCTTTGCAGATCCCCGAGCTGCTGCCCCTCTGATTGCCCCTCTGCCCTTCTGAGCCTGGAGGTCTGCTGACCTGGATTGGTCCCCAGAAGCCCCTCCTCACTGCAAGCCTCACTCCCCCCACCCCACCCCCCCTCGTGGTCCCCTCTAGGCTTTTGCCCTCAGACTCAACCCCCTCAGTGAATTCAAGGAGGGGAGGGTGAGGTAGCTTGGGTTTAGCACCAAGGTTCCTGATTCCCACCAAATTCCTCTCCCCGCAAAATCCGCAAAACCCGCAGCTGATTCTGCACTCCTGCTCCGCGGGCCGCGGCCCAGAGGCCACTCCCCATCTCTCACTGAGGTCCTTCTCCTTTCTCTCCCGCCGAGTGTCACCTTCCGACCAGGGAGCGCGGTGAAGACTCAGGCCCTGCCCTGTCCTCTCCCTGGCAGGCTGGAGGGGTCCCTCGTGGGCACGGAAGGCGGGTGGCGGTAGCGAGCAGGATGCCCGTGAGCACAGCATAGCCCCTGTTTGCGGGAGACCAGGTCCAGCTGGGCTCCTCTCTCCCTAGGGTCTCAGCTGTCATAGCCGCTGCCCGCTGGCCAAGCCCCAGGCCATGGTCTTCTCTGCGCTCAGGTCCTGATGCCTAACCAGGGCCCTTGCCTGCCTCAGCTTCCCCAGAGGCCGTCCTTGTCCTTCAAGCGCTGGTCGCCAGCTTTCCGTTTTTCTAATGCCCTCCCCTGCGAGTATTTCTCTCCGCGTGGTCCTCTTCCCGGTGGGAAGTAGAAATGTGGAGCCTTTTCCATGGCCTGGCCGCCACCGAGGTGCAGGCTCCCTCCCTCGGGGTGCGGGATCCTCTCCAAAGATGGTGTGTATGCTGGACCCGGGCGTGGGGATGCCGTGATCTGGGCACCGTCGAGTTTTCCGCTCTGCGCCTGGTCACTGGGCTTGAATCCGGTGAGTGTCTCCTGTTTGTCTACGCGTATCCAGCTCTTTCCTGCTGCCTTTTCCGTGTACCTGAATTTTTCTGATACACTCTCAGAGGAGCTCTCTCATCACTGCCACCTAGCGGTCATAGAGGTCTCCTACTAAAATGAAATATACATAGATCAAACCATCTGCCCATGGTCCAAAAGAGTTGCCTTATTTCTTCATTGTTCTGCTTAAGACTTCCACTTCTATGCTACATAAAAGTGTTGAAAATAAGCATCTTGCCATGTGCCTGATCTGTGAGCAGGAGCTGAAAATGGTCACAATCATAAATTTTTTCACTCATATTTTACGAGCACTAACACCAAGTAGAATGTTGGGCTGGTCAGAGTTACCTCTGCCCGGAAGACCCCACCCTTACCCCAGGTTCTTTGGAGATGAATCTGCAGCGCTAAGCCGGAGAGGAACTGGCGAACTTCGTCTGCTTGCAACAGTTTGCGTGGCCACGAGGGGGCGATATGGTGTCACTGCATATTTCCGTGGCCTGTGTACAGTATTTATGCTTCTGTAGGAAAACGCCCTTCTGCTCCCAAGAGCCTATTGAGCCTCCCCTGTAGGTTTCCTGGATGAAAAGGCTTATGTAAAATGCATTTCATTTTAACTATATTGTGTGTGTGTGTGTGTGTGTGTGTGTGTGTGTGTGTGTGTGCCTGGGTGTGTGTGTGTTGTGGCTGCGGCTCTATTGCAGGGATAGCAGCCACAAGGCATGCGGTGGTCAGGATTGTGTCACCCCCTGAACAAATGGCCCCACGAAGGAACTGCCCAGCCACCGGCTGGATTCCTCCTTGCAGTAGCATGCTGCTGAGTTCTGTGCTCACCCAAAGAAGGTGGACAGGACCGGGGCAAGGAGGCAGTGGAGAGCAGGAGCTGAGCCTCCACAGGAAGCAACTTGCACTGAGTGAGGGGAGGGAGGGACTCAGGTGGAGGCCAGGGCGCTGCTGGCCAAGGCTCACAGGCTCCGACATGCTTCTCCCTGCTGCCTCTCCTTCCACTTCAAGCAGCAGCGACCCAGATGTGGGGGCAGGAGGGCCACGCAGACCTCTGGTCACCCAGAAAAAGTCAGTGCCCTGACCAGGAGCCTGGAGTCTGAACAGCGTGGCCATGAATCCAGCCACGTAGACCAGGACTGAGTGCCGCTCCCAGAAACACAGGAGACCCCTTAGATGCAGCTGAAATGCAGATCCCCATGTAGGAGGTCTGCGGAGGGCCTGAGATGCTGCATTGCTGACCAGTTCCCTGCTGACACTGATGCCGGAGCACCACCCCTGAGGGAGCAAGTTCTTCATGGACTCACGTGGGCGCACAGCTGGGCTCCCTTATGCACCACCCGGTGGCCCGCAGACCTCTGGTCCCGAGGCACTTAGCTCCTGCACACCATCCCTCATGCCAGGTCCCCATCTGCCTCCCCTCACACTTGGCACAAGGTCATTGGCTTCCTGGCTCTGCCATGGCCCCACAGATTCTATCTCAGCCTTCTCCCCTCAGTGACATGGGGATATATCAAGATGCCTATGTCAGGGACACTTCCTCCCACAGCCTGAGCCCAGCTGTCTTCCTCAGCGCCCTCATGGCTTCTCGAGGGACCCTCTGGGAGTGGGCGTGGACGTTGGGACCTCCCTGCCCAAAGAGAACGAGTGCTGCTTTTCCCACTCCACAGAGCAGGGACCCCCAGTTCTAGAAAACTCAAAATGTCTCCAGACACACTAATGAAACAGTCAGTTGTGTGCCAACAGTGCAGGGTTTTCTTTATTTTAAGGATGCCAGGGAAGGGAGAGCCCTCGCTGAGAAAGTTCTGGTCAGTTGGTACAAGCCCACGGGATGGCACCAGAGCAGCCTTCCCAGAGGGGTTGGGGGGCAGCAGGGTGCAAAGCCATGGACAGAGGTTAAGGTCACAAGAGTGGGAAGGCCCTGCAGGTCTCCTCCTTACTGCAGTGCACAGCTGTGGTTTGGAACCCAAGTGGGGTTGCACAGAGGATGGGAGGGTGATTGAGGGCCACATGCAATGTAGGCCTCCGCTGGGGCTCAGCAGGCTCAGGACCCCACAGGACGAGGAGAAATGGAGCTGGAGGTTTGCCTGCTGTTACAGTGAGCGGCAGCCTCTGCTCAGAGGTCAGGGCTCCGGAGGCTGGTGTAGCTCATGGAAGACAAGCGGGAAGAGACACACACAGAGGTACACTGGGCCAGGGAGCCCACTTAGACTTTCACCGAAGTAAGCTCAAGATCACCATCCACTTTCACCTGACCAATGGCCGACAGGCGCGTCAGGTGGTGGGCATACTGCAGCAGGAGTTGGCCGTCCACCATCACCTTGTAGCCCTGGGTTTCGCATAGGATCTGCACCTGGGCGGAGAGGCCTTGCCATTTACACTCCATGCAGAAAGTCCTCAGCCCTCCTGCAGGCTCCGGGCCCCTCCTTCCTTCCTCCTCCTCTCCCCCAAATAGCCCCGCCCCCGCCCCTACTGAAACACCTGCTCCTCCCTAAACACCTTGTGCGCTCCTCCCTGGACCTCAGCATGCGCAGCTCCCAGCCTGCATCTCTGCCCTGTGTCACTGCCAGGCACTCAGGACCCAGCCCCCTCTGGCAAGCCTTTCCTGCCCCACCGGACCCTCCCAGGGGAACAAATGCATCATCAGGCCAACATGGGGCAGCGGTACTGGCTCAGGGATCTGTGTCCCCCATGTCCACACCTGGACTCTGTAGAGGCAGCAGGCCCTCCTGACCCATCCTTTACCGCCCAAGACTTTCTCCAGCGGGCCGTCAGGGTACGAAGGGCAGTGCTCACTCTTCCATCACACTCGCGTGCAGGGCACTGTGCTAGCATGCACAGAGACTACCGCGGCTCATTCCCACAGCTCTCTGAGACCCCGGGATTCTTAGCCTCATTTGTAGATGAGGAAACGGAGCTGCAAAGACCCAGTGACTGACCCTGGCTGAAGGGCCCTTCCCCAAGGTGACACAGCCACCTATGAATCAACCTTAGTGTTCCCCGCTGTTGTTCCCCAGTGGCTTCTCACTGCAGTAAATCCAAGCTCCCTTCCCAGCCCACACAGCTCTACACCAGTCATTTCCAACCCAGACTGCAGAGTGCAGTTGTCCAGGACATAATCTCTGCCTAAGTGGGTGCCTGGGCTGACAGTCTCTAAGGCTGGGGGAAGGACAGACATCATAGACCTGCCTTCCTTTCTTTTTTCTTGGCCCTTCCTTTCTTTTCCTTTCCTTGCCTTGCCTTGCCTTCTCTCCTTTCCTAGCCTTGCCTCCCCTCACCTAGCCTCACCCTGCCTCGCCCTGCCCTGCCCTTCTCCTTCCTTCCTTCCTCTTTTCTGTCTTTTTCTGTGACACTAAGGAATGAATCTGGGGCCTTCACACTGTGCTACCCTCTTTTTATTTATTACTTTGACTTGGGGCCTAAGTCACTAAGTTGCCCAGCAAGTCAGACTTGCTGGGACCCTCCTGTCCCATGTGATGCTATCACAGGTGCATGCGCCTCTGCAGCTGGCTTTGACTTTTTTTAAGCTCTGTGGAGGATCCAAGTGTAGTCAGGGTGGAGAAGGCCTGCTCTTGGTGATCAGACTGCAGCCACAGTCCACCCCTCTCCCCCTACTCTGCACCTTGCAGTGCAGTTGTGGACAGGCCCCCCCCTCCTCTGCACATCAGGCCTGAAATGGGGGTCTCTCCAGCCCGGGCCCTGTGTGCCTTCTGCTCAGCCCTGCTCCTTATCTGTGGTGATCGGCTCAGGCCTTGGTCTCCTGGCTCCTCCCTACCTATACCCAGCCCCATGGGGGAGGACCTGCTCTTTGCTTCCTGGCTGCATCCCTAGGCATGGGGAACTTTCTGCACCACACAGGCCCAGTCAAAGAACTGCTAAATGACTGCTGGGTGAACAAGCAAATAAGTGACTGGCACCTCATTCCTGGGTATGATTGGCAGAAATGGGCCATGTGATTGCTGGCAAGCAATTTATCCTGGATTTTGTTTGCTCATCTATAAAAATTCAGTGCTAACATTTGCCACATGGGAGACAGTAATCTTAAATATTAATAGTGTGTGGCACATTCTCTCTCCCTTGGGGCCCAGCTCTCTTATCACAGGCATCAGCCCCTACCCCTTTCAAGGTACCCCACACCTCCTCACCCCTTCTATCCTTGCACCCAGTGAGCTTCTGAAAATCCAGGCTGTAACATCTTACCTTGAAGCTCTTTCCTCATCTGAAAAGCATATTTATGGGTGGGATTCGCTCCGCTGACCCCCAGTTGCCCTGGATCCGAGTGTTGCAGATCACTGCCTTTCCATCAAAATCAGGCTTCATTTGGAAGGCGATGTCACTCTCAGTGCACAGCTCAATGATGAAGCTGGGGTGGGCACATCACGTGGACCTTCTCCATCCTCTGAGCTCCGGTCCTCCCCTCCCACTCACTCCCCACCTCCCTTTAGCCAGGGGTGGCCCTCTCCTCCCTGAGATCCCTGGAGGTCCTGTCTTACCTGTGAGCACCATCCTTGACAGTGCCTAACACAGTGATGACCTTGGATGGGTACAGCCCACCTGGGATGGAGGCATTGTAAGGGAGCTGTTGAGAGGATGGGACAGGTCAGCCAGTGACCCCAGAGAGCCACCACTGCAGCAGGAAATTCTGTACCAATTGTCAGGGACTTGAACAGTATGCTGAGTCAGAAACCATGCCAAAGGGTAGGCATGGTCTTTCCTATGAAGCCAGGGCATCTTTACTTGGTTCATTGGTTCAAACACCAAGAGAAAACTTACTGTTCCCAAAGCAGGAGGCCTTCACTGTCACGGAAGGAACTTTGGCTGGACACTAAAGCATTCTGGGGTGATAGATAAAGGCCATATCACTAGCTCACACTCAAGGGTCCATTTTAACATGAAAAGTTCCTTCCACAAAATTGTTATATATATCAATACATGTAACATGTCACTCAGATTTGCAAAGGACCCTCTTGAATTCTGTAAGTCAGAGGATGAGCCCCAGATTTCACTACTACTGACCCTGGCATGGGAAACACAATCTCTAATTTTCCTCAGATGATGTTTACGTGAGTTCCGGTTCAGAATCTGTGGAAAATAGACTAGGAAATTCAGTGTGGGGATGTTTTGAGCACACACACGGGGGAGCACTGCTCCACAGTTCACAGAGCTCAGGGCAGGTAGGCACCCTTCCAGACTTAGCACAGGTAAACCCCCGTGCACGGGTTACTACACTGTACAGGAAGAACCACCTGTGTAAGAGTTAACCAATAAGGACGCAGGCAGCTCTTGCTCTGCTCAGCTGCCTGCTACTGCTGTGTTGCTGATGTCTGCATCGGCCTACTTTCTCTGGGAACCTCACGCACAAATTTCACCCTTCAGCCCCCTGACAGTTGGCACAGTCGGCAGGACAAACAGGGTCATCAGGAGAAAGTGAGTGTCCCCTTCCACACTTGACGGTGAAGGAGAACCCTGGAGCAGAGGGCCCAACACGCCTCCTCACTCTCACCTTGGTCATCTGTAGTCACTGTCAGAGCAGTTGGGAAGACCAACCTTGAAGAGAGGGACTTGAGGGCCCAGCATGGGAAAAAATCTGAGAAGCCCTAGAAACGGAGGCCCAAGAAAATTCCAGAGCCAAGACCGGCTCCAAGCAGGGTCCCAAGCCCATCACCGGGCATTGACACCCCTGCTCCTCCGAGGTGGTGACACTGGGAGAAGTCCCAAGGCAACCAGCAGGAGGCAGGCAAGGGTGCACAGAAACACAAGGGGTGGGAGCCAGGTGGCCACAGGCACTGGGGTGCCCCCCCACCCTCCTGCCCACACCTGGCCAGCACTTTTAGAACCTGAGAATCCACTGTACAATTGGCCCACCTGTAGGAATGAGGACCGGAATGGTGACTGAACACACTGGTGATGCTAGGAATCCCCATCCCAGTGCAACGCACTGAGGAGAACCTGAAACAGCAGGTGGTGGCTGCCAGAGCCAGGTTGTGGAGCGTGGGAAATACTGCCTCCCCGCTAAGTGTAAGTTCCCATTTCTGGGAGAGTCCCCTGGCATGGCTGCATGCCTGCTATTCGCCAAATCATGTCCATAGAAGAGCACTTAGCTGGGGAGGTGGGCTGAAAGGACTGCCCACCTCTACCCGTTCTTATACAGCCAAGGAGTCACACGCACTGGTGAAACAAGCAAAACAAAAGGTGGGTGGCCCAAGTCCTAGCGGGAGGTAAACCTCCTTGGACCGGCTATGGGACCACAAAATGTCAGACTGTGCCAGATATGGACAAACCTGTTGGCTGCCCGCTTAGCACACATAAGAGAAAGGGTCAGTCCCGCTGGGGAAATGGGCGTTCATGGTGTGGTACCAGGGCAGAAATCACTGGCAACAGGTGTGGGGAGCCTACGTGAGCCCGGGTTTTAGTTGCAGCCTGAAAGCAGGTGCAAAACGGTGACACTCAACCTGGGCGCCTCCTTGGGCATGCAGACCTAGGTGAGATGCTGAGGATGGGGGCTGAGCACTGCTTGATTAAACAGAGAGGACCTCTGGTGACACTGAACAAGCCACAGATCTACTAATATATTAGACAGAAAAACTGGGAGAGCTGACATTGCTCTCAGTGTTGCCAGAGCTGAGCCAGTCTCTGGGCTCAGGCAGCAGGAGCTCCAGGCTGTCCAAGGCTCGGTGCCCTTCTGATGTTGATGTTTCCCCTGTACCTAAATATATACCGGGGTGGACAAACTGATTGGTCTCTGCTCAGCACCATGCAGGGCAAATTCCGCTTGCAAATTCTTGTGGGTAAAGCTGCAGTTCTAGGACATCCACACCATGCACCACTAACAACTACCTGGAGGTTGTGAAGAAAGGGGACAGACTGCATGGAAATTGGAAAAAGCAGGGGTCATACACCCTGCACAAGCCCTTCACTGTGGCCCACACAGAAGACAAACAGGTCCTGACCAACGACTATAAAACTAACCCTGACGCTGGCGGTCAGCACCAATTTGCCTTCATCAGGAGGGCAAGCAGTGGATGCTCCAGATTTGAAACCAGGCTATTTGCACAGCTCTAATTGTGTCATGGCCTCATGCTCCAGACCTGGCCACCTGGGCCAAGCCACACTTTGTGTCACTGGTTCATTCTTTGATGATATCATGTTGACCTCTCATTGCCTTACAGATTTGAAAGCTGCCATGCACAGTCTGAAGGAAGCTGTGCTGGCCTGGGGTGGGCCATGAATGAAGACAGGGTCCAGGGAACTGGCTTGTCTGTCAAATTCCTGGGTGTTTTTTGGTCAGATAAGACAAAAATAATTTCCAGTGCAATTATAGATGAGCCAGAAGGGAATGACACAGCTGACAGCACAGGCTGCTTTTCAGGACTCAAAGGGGCAGTTGCATAGGTGCCAGCCCTACGAGTCCTGACCCGACCCTGCCGTTTATCGTAACAGTCAGTGTGGATGACCGTGGATTTGACTGTGGCCTATCGCAAAAACAGGGAAAGCAGGAGCACCCTGTTGGGTTTTGGTCACAGTTATAAAAAGTAAGCAGGGGCTGGTGTTCCGATTGAGAAACGGCAGCGATGTGCACTGCTCTGCGTGCCTGGGAGGGATCACAGGACAACACACAGTGGAAGTTCAGACAAAATATCGGTAGAGGTTGGGGTACAGACATGGACAGCTGGTCCCAGGAGAAGAGTAGCACAAGCCCCACTCCCACATGTTGCAACACTTAAGGTCCTTTGTTGTTTTGCTACCTCGTGGGCACTAGGATCTGTTTCCCTCTGTGATGCCTCTCTGCCAAGCCTCCCTGCCTTAGAGCCAGCCAATCATGGACTGAAACCTCTACAAACTGTGAGCTCAATAAACCTTCCTTCCCTTAACCTGTTGGTGTCAGATATTTTGTCCCAGCAAGGAGAAAAGTAACTAAGACAATAGCACAGGCGCCCAGTGGGAGGTGAGTAAGCCAGTGTCAGATGCCTGAATAGCACTGATTAGCACCTCTAATCCAGCACAAGACCGAGTGGATGAGGTGCCATGAAGCAGGATGAGCATCAGGATGAGCTCCTCTGGCATCTCCACCCTCCTCTGGGTCTCTTGGCTTCCCCTACCACCAGCCCCTGCCACCCAGTCTCTCCTCAGAGACCCACAGCTGCTTCCCCTGGCTGTGCAGCTGGCTCACACTTGGACAGCTCCAAACTCACCGGCAGTGAATTTTTCTGGGAATCCATCCATAATTCAACTGTGTGACCACCACGGACTTTCACACCAGCTCAGGTGTCTCTGCTCAGAACTGGATATTACAAGGCAATATAAAGCAACGCATTTGGCAGCTATTCAAGGGGGAGAGGCAGAGAGCAAAGGAACTGGGTGTGGCAATAAAGACAAGTGGTGGGGTGATGGATAGGATGTGGAGGTAGGGAGGGATGTGGGCAGGCCCAGCCTGAAGACTTTCTTTACTTTTTCCATCTGTGTATCACCCAGAGGCCAAACTTATGTTCATGGAGATCTAAATTACATTATCATGGCTGGCTAAGTTACACAGAAATTAACTGGGCCATCAAGGAAATCAGCAGAAAAAAAAAACAGAATTATAGCTGGAGATGCATCTGAAGCAGACCATTCCTGTTTTCTCCATGTGGCATTTAGACTTCCTTCTCCACTGCTTGCTGAACTGTCCTGTATTCCTCTCTTGACTGCTTTGAGAGTTATGCAATGGATTGTTGTCTTATTTTAGATAGCTGGTTGCAATGGCATTCTTCAACGTCTAATTCTTTTCCTGCTCTCACTCCTCGGTATGTCTGAGGCAATTCCCCTTTGTTAGGGAGGTTGTTATCACTGTCAGTAAGTGCTAGTGCTCTTCTCTTTATACTCCTGACAATCTGTTTTCATTGTCCCTTGGAAGCATCTGAATGTCTTACCACCCCCGGTGTTAAGGGGAGATTCGGTGAGGTAAGTACTCATGAGAAGAAAAAAACGTGGGAACAGGCAATGTCCTCCTGAAGCACACAACCGACACCCCCTCGAGCAAGAGTCAGAAACCAAGATGTCAGCTGCGGTCGGGCTTGGATTTAAGGTTGAACATCTTTTTGACCTTCCATGTCAACCACGTTATCTCCTTGACAAACACTCCAAAAATGGCACATTATGGTCTCAAGTTTTGCATCTCCCAGGGGCTTGTTAGTACAGTAAAATTTTAGTTTACCTACACTTTGAATCAGTATTTGTTGTTGTTGTTGTTGTTGTTGCTCTGTTCCCCTTTTCTTCACCAGAATGGAGGGAAGGGAGTAGTGAGTTCATCCAAAGCTTGAGTGACTTCTAAACTGGAGTTACTATAAGAAAATGGAGTCTCTCTTGCCCTATCCCCGGGACTGTGAGGGAGGACTTGGCCCTGCTCAGGATGGAACATCCTCTGACAGCAAGAAAGCCTTTGC